ACTAAAGTCTTTAGAAGCTCTTTATACCTGAAGTATTGCCTACATTCCATCTCTGAACTGCATGTACAAATGTATTAACTTCTCAATTACTCCCTAATCAAATGATCAGGCACCAACTCTTCTCTGACCCAGGAGGACTGTCTCTGCTGTACCCATTTGACTCTATACCATGTGACTTTATTTCTGCGCTTACAGCACAGAATTTTGTCCACTGTCAACACCTCATCTGTGTGTGTATCCTTATCATCTAGGTCATTACCTAGATTAGGGTCATTATCAGGGTCATGGGCTTGACTGCCCTGCTCCACAGTCTCCTCTATTAATTCTGGGTTCTGGTCTGTCTGGTCACCATATGGTATCTGGGGAGGGGGATTTGTAGGTCGGAGTTCTGGACTAACATACAATTTCAATCTATTTGCATGTATTAGAGACTTCAAAACTTTGTTTGACTGGCAATGTCTGAGCCTGTATCTGTGATTATCCAATGCATTAGTGATGTAGAATGNAAGGTTGTCTGGGGTTCTGTCTGACACAGAGGGGTCATAATCATCTGTAACTCGACCTTCACCTATGTTATTTACAACATTCCTGTGGTCAGTTAAAATACTGTCTGGCCAGTCCAGTGTGTATTCAGCTGTCCCTCTCAATATGGGGGCTACAATGACCTCATGCACCGGGTCATCTGACTCTGGTTTAGGGCTCCCATCATAATCCCGTCTAGACAACCCATCAGCATTGGAATGTTTCTTTCCAGCTTTATGCTCAATGACAAAGTTGTAACCCTGTAACAGAATTGCCCATCTTGCCACTCTACCAGATTTTTGTTTGGTACTTTGCAATGTTTTGATTGCCATATGGTCAGTCAATTTCTTTGTGGCTAGGTATACATGGAAATGTCTTATTCCTTCTACTAACGCTAACCCTTCCAAATCTGTTATGCCCCAGTTTTTCTCTGTCTTTCTCAATGACCTACCCCCATAGGCTACAGCTCTTTCCTTTCCGTCAGCATCTCGCTGTCCTAACATATACCCTATTGCCTTAGTGGATGCATCCACATAGAGAATGAATTCTTTGTCAAAATCTGGGTGCACTAGAATTGGTGCCGTAGTCAAACGTTGTTTCATGCTGTCAAAAGCGCTTTGACATTTTTCTGACCAGAGGAATTTGGTGTCATTTTTCAGGAGCTCATTCATAGGTGCTACAATCTCTGAAAACCCTTTCACAAACCTACGATAGTAATTACATAGTCCTAGGAATGCCCTGACATCATGAACTGACTTGGGAATAGGATATTCTGTCACTGCCTTTATTTTCTCATGGTTCACACTGATACCATCCTTTGAGAAAATATGGCCTTGATATTTTACTTCAGACACTGCAAAATGGCATTTCAAAGGTTTAAGTTTCAGATTAGCGTCCCACAATCTCTGAAAAACCTGAGCCAAATGGTCTATGTGCTCCTCAAAAAAATCTGTACACAAAATTTAGGGAAAGCTTAAATTATCAACCATCTGAAACTTTTGTGTCATTTCTAAATGTCCAATTAGGAGTGGAATAGTTACCTGACCTCTGATCTCTATGTCACTACCATTTGCACTGTGTAACCATTTCAAGTCAGACCTCTCTATTTCAAAAGATTTTCCTAATCCTGTATTATCAAATACTTTACTGCTTATACAAGAAACACCCTCTGCTCCTGTATCTATCAATGCTGAAAATGTTTTATTGCCTAACCTTACTGGTACCTGATATTTGTCTAAGGGTTTGGTGACACTACCCCGATTGCTATTGGGTTGCTCATCCCTAGGGACAGGCGCGTACCCCTATTTATTCTTAATATGTTTCTGGTTTCTAGTATGGAGGTTTCTACATATGGCTTTGATGTGACCCTTTCTACCACAATTATAACATGAAGCATTTTGGAACCTGCATCTTTTAGCAACATGCCAGTACTCACCACAGTGGCGACATTGGTCCCTTTCTCTCCTGTCCTGCTGTTGGTCACTCTGCGTCCTTACACTGTTCACCTTTTTAAGATTGTCTAGTTCCTTTTTATTACTTTCATGCTCTTGTCTCAGAGCAGACAGTTCTTGTCTTGAGGCATCTAATGTGTTTCCTTCCTCCCTTGCGTTATAACTTTGGCTGGTTAGTGTTCCTGCCATTGTCCCATATTTGACCACTTCTTCCAGTGTACGAGCCTCCTTGCCCAACACAAACGCCTTCACAGTGTCGTCCAACCCATTGATGATAATGTCTACTATTTCAGCCTCATTTCTTTCAAATTCCTTTCCTAAGGCTTGCACTTGGTCTACGAATGCAACTACCTCTTGTCCCTGTTGTTTTAGACTTAGAAACTTTTGCACTTTCCTAGGCCGGTCTATGTCCTTTGGGAAAAATCTTTCCCTAAATTTCTCTGCCAATAGTTGGTAATTATCCTGAATGGCCTCATCCTGAGTATACAGCCATTTTTCTGCTGTACCTTTTAAATACAGGCATAGCTGTACCGCCTGCTCTTCTTCTTTCCACTTTTTTAATTTTCCATTTTTTTCGAATTTTCCCAACCAAATTTTTGCATCTGTAACACCGTCAAATTTTTCCAACACAGGTGTACTGTGGTCTTTGTTAGCCATTTTACTGTACCACTAGATGTTCCATTCCGATACTTTCATGTAAATGGATGTAAAGGCATGGGGTTCGGTTGATAGATACCCCGTACCCGGATTCTCCGCCAAATATGTGACCGATGTCGGTCTGGGGAATAAGTACTCAAGTCCGTTTCCCGTTCATTTCTTTATTGTTGCCAACTTTCAGTTCCTACTTCTGCATACCATTGCTAGCACCTTCTATCTTAGCTCACTTCCAATCCTGATCTAATCTGGCTCACTTTCCATCTCCCAACTCTGACTCTGTTCTGCCTCTCTGTACTTCCGTCTGCCTTCTCTCTCCCTCAGTCTGCCTTCTCTCACTTATACTAAAAACTATCCCATCCCTAAACGATATGTCGTCCCTCACCCCTCTTTCGACACTGTTCAAACTCCCATCCTCCATACCCCACCACACCTAGTCCAACATTCTCCCCTCACTCATTTCCACTCCAATCCCGACAACGTCTCATCATTCCCTCGCCCCTATCACCGACATCATATCCCCTCCAATCGTCTCATCATGCCCTCGCCCCTATCACCGACACCATATCCCCTCCAATCGTCTCATCATTCCCTCGCCCCTATTACCGACATCATATCCCCTCCAAACGTCTCATCATTCCCTCGCCCCTATCACCGACATCATCTCCCCTCCAATCGTCTCATCATTCCCTCGCCCCTATCACCGACATCATCTCCCCTCCAATCGTCTCATCATTCCCTCGCCCCTTTCACCGACATCATATCCCCTCCAATCGTCTCACCATTCCCTCGCCCCTATCACCAACATCATATCCCCTCCAATCGTTTCATCATTCCCTCGCCCCTATTACCGACATCATATCCCCTCCAATCGTCTCATCATTCCCTCGCCCCTATCACCGACATCATATCCCCTCCAATCGTCTAATCATTCCCTCGCCCCTATACCTGACACCATATCCCCCAGACCCAATCCTTACAATGCCTTACATTCCCCTCGATGATACATATTTTCATGTTTATATAGACGGAAATGAAATACTGAAATCGATTTGGTTTATTTTGTTGAATGTCCTTTTAACATCTAGGGTCACTTAAGGCCGTGCCTCCATGTGTGTTGTGTATGCGTGCATGTGTGCATGTGTGCCGGAGACGGGGTATGTTGGTGTATTTGCTTCCTTGTGATAGCGCGGATGATGCAGACTTTAAAGTGCTATCTCACAATGCCTAAGGCACCCAGCACAGCATTCCTTTTGTTTGTTTGTGTTTTACGTCCTATTAACAGGTACGGTCATTTAGGAATTGGACAACAGGCAAAACCTATAAAAGCCATCTCCTTATATATAAAAAGTGTATACATATAGTGAAATGGAAGTATGCAGCCTTGTATGAAATTATAGAAGTATTAATATGAAATTTTATTAGAAATTATTGAATCACCAATAGTTTTAACTACTATGAAGCGGTCGGTCAAAAATGAACTGGAGACCAACCCAGACAAATTGTCCATAAACTCACACCATTCATCACTCAGATCAGTTAGGGAGTTAATGAGGGCTAGTCTTTGGTTTATATAAAAACGAAGAAGTGATCACAATCTTCAATCGGATAACCACGCATACAGGCAGGGTTGTCATTTCAGTACGAGTTAAAAAGATCCGAGTTCAGATTACTAGCATGATTTTTTAATTGACATATATAGGGCAATATAAAACAGTAGTACTTTGGGATTGAGAATCTGTATCAGGTGAGTATAAAAAAGTTATTTAGGGCTCCAAGTGATGTCATTGTTGGAAAGAGAAAAGATGGATTGTTCCATTCAGACATAAGTTTCGGTAAAAAAAACTAGTATTATAAAGAATAAGACGTAACATTACCACAGGGTACAGTTCGCCCATACCATATCAGCATATTCTAAACTTCCTAACGACCTCAGTCACATAGTGGTTTTGCTATGTGTCATGATCAGTGTTAGTCGATTTATTGATCTGAGACTTCGATCGCTTTCTAACTGTCCTGGTGAATTACTTTTGCTCTTGGGTTTTACAGTGTTCACTATCGCCCTCTAGGCTCTCCGATATTTGTTCATCGACGTTTTCTTATCATGTCCTAAGATATTAGATAAGAAGCGTCTTGTGGGGCTTCATGGCCGCTGCTATGCCATGGCTATGATATATTCTCTGCAACTTAAAACAAAATCCCTTTGTATATGAGATGTTCCTCCTATTGACCAATCGTGTTTTGTTTAAGCATGCCTGCCTCTGGATAGCATGGTACCAGATCATTAAAGGTTATCATGTGACCATTGCTATATCCTACTCCGTATCACCCGAGACTAAAAAAAATAGTATGGAAATAGTCATATGGTAACCTTTTTATTATATTTTGTCATATGTTTACCTTTGTAAACCAACTTCTTTACCTTCTTATACGTGTCGTTTATGTTAAGCATTCCCTTGTTTCCCCATTTGATTCACTACTCCATAGCCTGTCCTGTTCAACACCACTATTCCTGGTCGTTACAAATTATAGATCGGTCGGATTACAATGTCATATATATCTTCATTATCTGTTTCATTGCTTTCTCTTCTGTCTGCTGATAAAAAAAAATGTCTTCTGTAAGTTAGTGATCACATCATTCTTCACCACATCAAATTATATATATATATATCAAGCCATGGATAGGAAGTGCGCTTTTGGACATATTAGAAGATGTTATTATAATTTAAATTTATCTTTATTTTTTCGAAATTTGCGTTTTGCCTTAATATGTTACACAAATTATACTCTGGCAACACTGCAGATTAACATCCTCTGAAGTGGTTTTTCCCCATTTCTGACAGTATTTTTTTTTTTGACAGTAACAAAAATTCGCCTAACAAATATATGTGCACTTTTGTAAATGTCTAAAAAAGCTTTATGCATGTTCACTGTATTAAGTGTCCTGGTTGCTGAAAGGTCACAGTTTTGGAATCAAACTGATACAGGGTTGTGTTACTGTGTATGAAGTATGTTTTTCACATATAAAAGTAAGTAATTGTGGTTACTCCGGAAAGAGCACTTAATATAGTGAAAATTGATGTAAATTGACACTGGAAAATTTCAGTAAACATCTCGTTCAACTATTATGATTAGATAGAATAAAATGACACATGAATACTAAATAAATATCAATCTTAATATGAAGATTTATTAATCTTCTGTTAGATTCATAACCAGTGAAAATAAAACGTATTACACGTCCATGTTGTTATAAAACAAAACGTATTACAAGTCCATGTTGTTATCATACAAAACGTATTACAAGTCCATGTTGTTATATTACAAAACATATTACAAGTCCATGTTTTTATCATACAAAATGTATTACAAGTCCATATGTTGATATCAACAAAACATATTATATGTTCATGTTTTAATTATACAAAACGTATTACAAGTCCATATGTTGATATCATACAAAACATATTATATGTTCATGTTTTAATTATACAAAACGTATTACAAGTCCATGTTGTTATCATACAAAACGTATTATATGTTCATGTTTTAATTATACAAAACGTATTACAAATCCAGCTTATAATTATACAAGACATATTACATTCTTTCATGGGTGAATTATACAAAAAAATATTGCTTCTTCATGATGTAATCATACAAAACATATTTGAAACTGATTCAGATTCACTCATCACAAGTTCTATTGTTGGACACGAGAGTACAATGTGCTCCCTGTACTGATTCTATAGACCCCAGTACATACAGCACTAGTTCTATAGACACGAGAGTACAATGTGCTCCATGTACTGATTATATAGACCCCAGTATACACAGCACTAGTTCTATAGACACGGGAGTACAATGTGTTCCCTGTACTGATTCTATAGACCCCAGTACATACAGCACTAGTTCTATTGGTGGACACAGGAGTACAATGTATTCCCTGTACTGATTCTATAGACCCCAGTATACACAGCACTAGTTCTATAGACATGAGAGTACAATGTATTCCCTGTACTGATTATATAGACCCCAGTATACACAGCACTAGTTCTCTAGACACGAGAGTACAATGTAAACCCTGTACTGATTCTATAGACCCCAGTATACACAGCATTAGTTCTATTGACACTAGAGTACAATGTATTCCCTGTACTGGTTCTATAGACCCCAGTATACACAGCACTAGTTCTCTAGACACGAGAGTACAATGTAAACCCTGTACTGATTCTATAGACCCCAGTATACACAGCACTAGGTCTATAGACACGGGAGTACAATGTATTCCCGGTACTGATTCTATAGACCCAAGTATACACAGCACTATGTCTATAGACACAGGAGTACAATGTGTTCCCTGTACTGGTTCTATAGACCCAAGTATACACAGCACTAGTTCTATAGACACGGGAGTACAATGTATTCCCTGTACTGATTCTATAGACCCAAGTATACACAGCACTAGGTCTATAGACACGGGAGTACAATGTATTCCCTGTACTGATTCTATAGCCCCAAGTATACACAGCACTAGGTCTATAGACACGGGAGTACAATGTATTCCCTGTACTGATTCTATAGACCCGAGTATACACAGCACTAGGTCTATAGACACAGGAGTACAATGTGTTCACTGTACTGGTTCTATAGACCCCAGTATACACAGCACTAGTTCTATAGACACTAGAGTACAATGTGTTCCCTGTACTGATAATATAGACCCCAGTATACACAGCACTAGGTCTATAGACACAGGAGTACAATGTGTTCCCTGTACTGGTTCTATAGACCCCAGTATACACAGCACTAGTTCTATTGGTGGACACAGGAGTACAATGTGTTCCCTGTACTGGTTCTGTCGACCTGAGTGATATCATTTCATGTTCTAACACAATGTACATATCAGTGGATAGGCACCAGATCTCCTTGATGTCTTGTACATCATGATAATATTTTTCTTTCACTTTTTGTTTTGGCCGTTTTTTCAGCAGATGGTCTGTAGCGCTGACCTAATTTGATTTCTTCTCCGAAGTAATGGTCACAAAGCAATATAGGACAACCTGTAAATTCGACCTTATAATCATAATATAGCGTAGTTTCCTCTGGTTCATTCTGAGATTCCCCCTCATATCCTAATTCTTTAAGGGTCATATCTGGAGGCAGCATGGCCTCACGATTACGGGACTTGTCATTGAAGAGTGAGAGTTTGGTCGACTGGATGCCTGTGAGCTCTGCGATGAGTTGTAGGAGGCCACACACAGGTATGTGAGTATGGACCAACTCCTCCAAATGCCACGGGTGGTCGGCATTAGCATGGAAAGTCACAAACACCAGCTCTAGTAACAAATACCTGTCAACATAAAAGGCAGTGTTAGATAGGAATCGGGGCTCGTGTCTGCAAGTTATTACTGTGTTTCAATAACATAATACTGAGGACATGTGAAGTGCAACTTTTCCATAAATATAAAGTCAACTTTCCATGAAATGTGATCGCCAGGAATCCCTTCTTTTCTGAAGAGCTAAGTAGTTGACCAAATCTACCTTCAGAAAACCATACAGTGGACCACATACTGGTGAAAGTTAAAGCTAAGGGAGATAACTCCCCTGTAATTTGAATGATTTAAAACAGTTAATGGGTGGGAAGACTTTTCAATAATTGGTTTGTCGAATGGACTACCATTGTATATGTAGTTTGACAACATCAACACATTTCTATACATAATCAGGAAACCTTTCAATTTCTGGTGAACGGTTCAATAGTGATACCATTGTGTTTTATTGAGAGTGGTTTCTACTTGCCTGGGGTTTTTGATCATGCTAGGCCCATTGATACCCATCTTACACACTTTACAATGGTCCATAGTACGATCTGTTTTAATGAGAATGTTTTCTGCCTCCTCTGCCTCTTTTTCCATCTCCTCCAATTCTCTGTCAAATAATACAAGGAACTAGATGTCAGATATATACTCCAGTATATTCTGTGGTAATACATGCATATTAATTCTAACCAAAGAATGCACTTATACTGAAGAAGAAAGTTAGGTTTCAAAGTATATTAACTAGGGCACATATGCAACTCAACTGATCATTAGATTTGAACATAGTTACTTTCTACTTTTTCAAACTACTTGACATTACTTAGACCCCTATGGAATGCCATATTGTAGTGAAATGACACATCACCATGCCGACCTTTTGGATTGGCTCGTTACAATTTCTGACCTGACATGTTCTGTGAAAAGTTTTTGGAATATCTAAACAGGTATATATAAATACAAAATGTAGCTTTTTTTGAGAATGTCACCTAGTTTTAGTTTTTACTTACCTGACATAATGTAGACCTTTAGGAATGTCTCTGTAGTTTACTTAACTGACATGCTGTAGACATTTAGGAATTTCTCTGTAGTTTATTTACCTGACATACTGTAGACCTTTAGGAATGTCTCTGTTAAGTATACTTACCTGACATACTGTAGACCTTTAGGAATGTCTCCGAGTTTACTTACCTGACATACTGTAGACCTTTAGGAATGTCATAGTAATCAATGTCTCCACTGTTTTCTCTGTCCATCAACTTTGCCAATAAATGTAACTCAACCCTGTTACAGATAACACCAAGGTCGAACATGCCTGTTAAATGAAATGAAAAACAACTGGAATAAACTACCTCCCATTATGTATACAACATTTTCACATTTCAACAAAGACTGTTGTAATTCATCGTATTTGTTAAATGTCCTGAAATTTAACATAAAAAGACATTGGGCATATTCAATGGCAGCTTTCTTGTCATGATGAAATGTGTTTTTTATTGTTTGTTCTTAAATCTCAATGTATTTTAATTTGTAATAATGTTTAAATTATCTTATGCTATAAAATTTAAAATAGTACTAAATGCTGTAATGTTGCAAATATAATTGCCTCCGTTATACATTGGGGTCCATATATATATATATATTTATGAAAAATATTAATAAGATAAATATATATATATATTGAACATGATTTATATTCAAGCATATGTGTTAATTTGCAAATTGTATCCATTTTTTATTGTTTACATTGGCAAGGCATGTGGATCAACTTGAATGTATTTTTTGTACTACTGGAAGTACCAATTAAGATATGCAAAGAATTGAGATATATATAATAATCCTTGCATATTGCTGCGATTGAATATAAGTCTGTAACAGACTAACACATTCCCCTTTTTACCCTTTTTATTGAACAGAGATTGAATTTTTCCCTAAATATTTCTCACCAGACTTAAAATCATCATAGTTGATGTAACCTTCTTCCTCTTGATCACATTTCTTAAAAAGTTGAACAGCCAGTTGAGAATTAGCAGCTAGCCAGCGGTCCATACGATTCACAAACGGAATGAAGAAAATTTTGTTGGCCTTTAATTTGTCAGCAGCCTTTTCTAACTTTTCCTAAAATAAAAATGAGAAGGCATCAAGATTTTATATCATAAACTGTAATTAAGATTTTTATGATTTTTTTTAAATAGAAAACATTCGATCGGTATGGTCTTCCAGCTCTACTATGGGGAAAAAATAACATGTATATATATGTATCTAAGCCAAGGAGTTCAACAATAATGGCACCATTCATTTATCAGCATCATATTTCAGATTCTATACATCTTTAAAAAAAATGTGATATTGCTTTTTAATTTTTAATAAGGCATGACAGATACTGAAATTAACAGAAAGAAATACAATGAAATAATACTAAAAATTAATCAACTGCTTAAAAGCTGAAATTGCTTAAATGATAAATTCAACTTTCAGTATAATGGGAATAATTACAATGTTTACAGACTCTAAAATATTAAAGCTAGTAAAGTATATATACTTTACTAACTTCTTATTCATTTCTGATTGTTATATTAAGAAATCTCTTTTCTCAATTTTTCCAGTCAATTACTGCCAATTCCATGCCTTTCAGTCTGAGTTTATTTGGTCTCCTAATTATATGTACAATATAAAATAAAAAAAATGATATAGCTTCCCATACCAAGGCTTTGTCTGCAGTGGAAACCTTTTTCTTTTTTCCTTTTTTCTTCTTTTTTCCACCTTTTCCGTCTGCTGCACTGCCAGGTTTGAGTTTGCCATCAGCATCAGTGATATCCATCATTGTACCGGCATCAGCCTCCAAACCTTCCACCTTGTCAGAGTCATGTTTGCTGGAGGAACTTCTGGTCAAAAGTACAGACATTGTAAAGTTGAGCGTTTGTTGAGATATTATACCAGGGCACTATACATGTAGATCAGTAGTGAAAACCAAATAACAGATGAAGTTTAAGGAAGAAAGAAACATGAACATTTGCCATTAAAGTGCTTAATTATCAAATAACTAGTACATTGCAATAATTGTTCCAGCAACAGCATATGTAATGCATCTAGTGCACTACAAATTATGCACACTACACTAATGTACATATTATTTAATAATAAGAATAATAACTCTAGGTTCTTATATACCGCTTTATCACAACCTAGTTCATAGGTCGTCTCAAAGCGGTTCACAAATTATTATCCATGGTTATATATATGGCCTTTGCAACCAGCCAATACCTTTCTCAACTCCCTGGGTAGCATACAGACGGAGCTGCCATTTCGGCACTAATTAACAGCTAGCATTCAACAATTCTAGCACGTACTGCCCAACCACATACTCATTTACAGCTGAGTAGACTGGAACAAGCGGAGTAAAGTATCTTGCTCAAAGATACAACAGAGTGCCGTGCCATGACTCGAACCCGCAAGGTGTCCCTTCGGTCACGAGCCCGCGTCCTACCACTATAGACAACCGTGATACTTTAATATGATATATATATATTTACCTACATGTACAGCTAGTCTTGCATTTACTTTTGTGTCTATACCTATGGACTTGTCCCTCCATCTTTATCTGTACTCAACCAGTTATTGTAAAGTACCAGTTAGGCCTACTGTGAATTGCGTTTGCCTTATCAGGATAATTTGAAATTGTCAGATATTCATGTTTGAGATTTGCTTGAATATTTCAAATTCTGTACGTTCATGATTTATATACATTGCTATTTTAAACAACATAAATATTGATTATAGCATCATGGAGGACCAAGTTGTGTGTATGTAAAACTTTTATAAACAAAAAACGTACAAAAAAATCATAATTTAGATTCAATATTGATCCTAGCATATTTTCCAACTGAACAAAAACCATAACTTAATAACTCGTGCTCCAAAAGGGGCTATTTACTGTTTTAAGCAATATTATGTAGACTAGTTACCAGTACATGCTATAGGCCTATATCGTAAAGTCATTGTCATTTGTCTCTGAAAACTCACGGAATATGCTCTTTGCCTATGATCATTACGAATGTTTTCACATTTTTCTCTGTCATATCTGTAGATATATCTCTTTCTTTACAAAAAGTACTTATCTATTTATCTTACTTTCCCTTCTTTTTTCCTCCCTTTTTCCCCTTTTTGGGCATTCTGAACAGGAAACACAGAGAAGTCGAAATAATCACTAACACTTTGCCGCCATATTGTTTACGTAGTTTCTAAGGCTAAATCCGGGACAGACTAACGTCTGGAATGCAGTCAGATTTGACATGATTTTAATGGACGATCAGGTACAAGATACAAGAAACAAGAAACTTTTTAACGTCGCATACAGGTAAACAAGGAACATTAGCTCTTGAGAGCTATTATTGCGACAAACATATGTAAAAATAACAATAACATATTATATTACAAGTAAAGGGAGCTAATCACATATACTAATAATAAAACAGTAATAATCATCACAGAAAAAGGAAGTATACATATCCCAGGTTTCTAAGTGATTGGGAGTCCCCTGCTTACAAAGGCCCCCGGGATATATATATAAAAATGGTGTTCAGTATATCACACAAGAATTACTTAGGACTTAGGATTAAAACACTATGAAGTGGAATATACATACAATGCTAATATAGCAAAGAATAAAAATTGACAGAATATACACTATTATAGAAGATGCAAATCACTTCTTCCTCAATTGCCCCAAATATATAGATGAAAGACAAGTTTTATTCAATGCTTTATCTAATTACAACGAAATTGACAACATCATCTTAAATACTGTTACTTTCACTAAGGGTGATATGAACCTTAGCAGTGAATCAAATAAATTTATTCTCTCATGTGTTCTGGAGTTTATTGACAAATCTGGAAGATTTTAACTTAAACTATACTAAAAATTACATTACAATGTGTTTGTATTTGCTATGTTATAACAATAACTCTGGTGTAATTGGGAAGGATGGCACTGTGTATAGTGACAGTGTCTTTGAAGTGCCTCCAACCAAACACTAGGCTATTAATAATTGAAGTAAATAGACTATATTAATTGAAATGGTAAAATCTATGATATTCTAGTTACATGTATTATTTTCTGTGAACATGTATTAAATGGTTCTAGTATTCTCCTATTAATTCGAACATGTACTACATCTTCTCTATAATACTCTCTCTCTATATATATATATGTATATATGAATGTATGAAATGTGTGTATTTTCTCTGGAAAGGGCTTTTATAGGCAATGCCTGTGCCTAATCCAATTGTATTTTTTTGAATACAATAAAATTGATTTGAAATGAAATGAAATATATATATAAAAATGGTGTTCAGTATATCATACAAGAATTACTTAGGACTTAGGATTAAAACACTATGAAGTGGAATATACATACAATGCTAATATAGCAAAGAATAAAAATTGACAGAATATACACTATTATAGTGTGAATTAAAAATGATACCGAAATCAATTAACATTTTTTTTTGTAAAAATTTATATTTTAGAAAATATGGAATTAAAATACAAATAAGATGCAGCAAAAATATAGAATAGAATTAAAACATATAAGAAATGAGATAAGACAATAAAAGTATCACACAATCCAAAATGTCAGTAGGCAGAGGTAACCAGGGCACAGTATAAAGTATCACTCTTTGCAGATATTGCAAAGGCAGATGGGGCCATCCCAGAAATGGACCAGCCTCCTGAATTTTTTGAAGTTTTCAACTTTTCTGAAGTCATTTGGGAGACTGTTCCACACCCGGGCGGCCTCAAAAGCAAACGATTTATGTCCATACTTCACAGTGTTGACCCTGGGCACCTCTGCAGTATTTTCTTTCCTGAAGTCATAATTAGACATCTTAATATTTACAAGATTATGAATATATTCAGGAGAAATTTTGTTTATAATTTAAAAAAACCTCACAACCCATTTCCTTCAGACGCGTTACATGAAGCCTGTCGAAGGATGAGTTGTGATCATTATGTATAAACCTTAAAGCTCTTTCTTGTATCTTTGCTAGCTTTATGACACTCTTCAAGGAACAAGAGTGCCAGACTAAAGGGCAGTAGTTAAAATTTGAAACAATAAAAGAATTATAAATTACAAGTCTACCTTGTCTGTTTAAAAAAAACTCCCAATTCGCTTTAAAATGGACAATTGCCTTGAGGCTTTCCTACAAATTTCAGAGATATGAGCTTCAAAGTTTAATAATGAACCAAAGTTCACACCTAAAAGTTTGACAACACTGTCAGGAACAATATCTATTTCGCCAATACTAAAAGACTGTATATCATTTACCGAACGTTTCCCCATACAAATGGACTGGAATTTATCAGGGTTTGCTTTCATCTGGTTTAAACCAGTCTATTCAATTTTGACAGTCATTTTCGATATTATGTTTTAAAGCATCTGGGTCTTTATTTGATTCACTGACAGTGTTGTCGTCTGCATAATTATATAATTTACATGTTGTCACATATAAAAACATATCATTTACAAATACATTAAAAAGCAAGGGTCCTAAAATAGAACCCTGGGGTACCCCTTCAGCACTTCCAGCCAGTCACCGCATTTGGAGCCAATTTTTACCTGCTGCTTCCAGCTGCTCAGGTAGCTGGACACCAGGTTAACTGAGGCTTTACTCAGGCCATAGGCCTCCAGCATCCCGACCAACAAGTTATGAGGAAGACAGTCAGAAGCCTTGGATAGGTCCATCAGTATGGCAGCGACATACTCATGGTTGCCCAGGAGAAAATATATCCCTATCTTTAATAATAGCTAAATACAATTTTGATTGGAAAACCTTGCTATAAGACAAATATTTGATTCTATAATTAAAAATATGATGTGTTTTTGTGTGTCTTAACTTGCATGGTTAAACGCTATAATCATGGAGACTAATATAAACCAAAAGGAAGCATAAGGACTAAGAAAAAAATGAAGACATGGAGATTGTATAAAGTATTCATGACTTCTTCAAATGTCCACTTCGAGAATGTGCACTAGAAGAGGGTAGATAGATTTAGTTAATACTTAACAAGGACAGAGTATATCATATGTGCTAAGGAAAAATTGGATACGTGTATCAATTACATCTATCGCAGGTAAACATTATTGAGGTTAGGTTTAAACATGTGAGTATCGTGCTGTTGAGACATAATGTATAGCTTGAAACTCGAAGAAAAAATGCCTTATCTAATATTTGCTAGAGTTATTTAGCGGAAACTGCAGATAATGTCTCTGCCAAATGGGGTCCGATTAAAGTGGTTGTCAAACTTGGCCGAGCCCTTAAGGTATTTAACCATGTGACTAAGTTTGAAGAAAATCGGTTAACTTTGTTGTAGTTATTAAACGGAAATGGAAGATAACAATGTTTTTCGTTATTCAAGGGACCATTCCTCCGCCAAATAGGGTCCACTGAAAGTGGTCATCGAAATTTGGGGAGACCTTAAGACATTTAACCCTGTGACCAAGTTTGAATAAAAACGGTTAATATTTGTTGTAGTGATTGGACGGGAAAGAAACGCAGCAGATAATGACGTTTTTCGTTATTCAAAGGGTCATAACTCCGCCGAATAAAGTCCGCTGTAAGTGGTCATCAAACTTGGCCGGGCCATTAAGGCATATAAGCCTGTGACCAAGTTTGGAGAAAATCGGTTAACAGTTGTTGTAGTTATTGCACAGAAACGAAGCGCGGCAGACAGACAGACAGACAGACGGACGGACGAACCCAAATTAATATCCCCCGTTTCGATGAAAGCGAGGGATAAAAAGACAAGTTGCCCAGAGGGCCTGTGTCGCTCACCTGAATACCAAAAGTAATCATGGCAAAATATTATCCAAATAAGATCCAAGGGAATGGGCCAGACCAAAAGGCCAATCCTTGTATCGTATCTGTATAAGATTTTTCATGCCAAGCAATTTTATGTATGGTTCTGGGGTGGGGATCTCAACTGTTTCCATGGTGTGATTCAGAAACTAGGTCCCTAGGGTTGCGGCCAGACCCCAGAATCAATTATAATATCATGACTGCATTTGTCTCTATATGCCCAGCATTTGTATATACAGTTTTGAGGTGGGGATCTTAACCGTTTCAAAGTTATGACCCAGGGGTTAAGTCTCAAACGGTGGGGCAGATACCTGGGGTCAATTCTTATATCATTCTCTTCATACTCAGCAATTGTATATATGGTTATATGGTGGGGATCTCAACCATTTCCAAGCAAAAAACTATTTTTGGCCCCACCCTTTAGCCAAGGGGGTCAACCCCACTACTTGTACAATTTGAATCCCTGCCTCCCATGAATGCTTCCAACCAAATATGATTGATATCCAGTACATAGTTCTACAGAAGAAGTAATGTATAGCAATACAGCCAAATTCCCCCCCTTTTGGCCCCGACCCTCAGCCCCTGGGGGGTCAGCCCCACCATTTGTACAGTTTTGAATCCCCACTATCTAGGTTTGCATCAAGTCAAAGTGGTTGATATCCATCTCTTAGTTCCAGAGAAGAAGTCGCTTAAAATAATATAGCCAAATAACCCTTTCTGGTCTCGCCCCTCAGCCGTCTGGTGGGTCAGCCCCACTATATGTACACTTTTGAATCCCTGCCTCTCATGAATGCTTCCAACCAAATATGATTGATATCCAGTGCATAGTTCTACAGAACAAGTAATTTATAGCAATATAGGCAAATTGCCCCCTTTTGCCGCCCCCCCCCCCCCCCCCCCCTGGGGGTCAGCCCAACCATTTGTACAATTTTGAATCCCCACTACCTAGGGATGCTTCCCGTAACATATGCTTGATATCCATTTCTCAGTTCCAGAGGAGAAGTCGCTTAAAGCAATATAGCCAATTTGACCCCTTTTGGCCCCGCTCCTTAGGCCCCCTGGACGGTCAGCCCCATCATTTGTACTATTTTGAATTCCAGCCTCCCATGAATGCTTCTGACCAAATATGATTGATATCCATTGCACAGTTCTACAGAAGAAGTCGTTTATAGCAATATAGCCAAATTGTCCCCCTTTGGCCCCGCCCCTCAGCCCCCTGGGGGTTAACCCTCCCATTTGTACAATTTTGAATCCCCACCATCTAGAGATGCTTCCAGTCAAATTTAATTAAATTCCAATCGGTGGTATTGACCCTGTATGGCATAAGCTCACCAGGTGAGCTAACTAACTACGTCCTTGCAATGTATTCTGGAGAAACTTGATA